TGCTGGAGAAAGGTCCATTACAAAGTTGTGTCCTGACTTATTTTGTTATTATAATTTTTTATTATAAGTCCTCTGTAGATTTTTCTTTAAAGTAATGTCGGTAATCCAGTAGTTTATTGAGGGATAAAACTTAATTCATATTTTGCAGGAGCCAAAGACGGACAAGGATGAAGAGCACTGTCGTAAGGTAAATGAGTACCTGAACAACCCCCCCATTCCCGGAGCACCAGGCAGTGGAGGCGGCAGTGGCCATGAACTCTCAGCGCTCGGAGGAGAGGGAGGCCTGCAAAACCTGCTGGGAAATATGAGCCACAACCAGCTGATGCAGCTGATTGGACCAACCGGACTGGGGGGACTGGGTGAGCAGCACTGGATTTGTTTCTAATTATCCTGTGACACACACAACAACAACAACAACAACAATTGATTCCTAAAGCAAAGAAAATGATTTTCTAGTTAGTAACTCTAAACCACATATCATGGGAAATGTGTTGATTTAAAACTTAAATACATGTTAATTTACCCAAGATGACCCAACTCTTCTCTAAGAATTAGAATGGTATCAGCAGTCCGTCCATTACTACATTTGTTTACTTTAAACCTCATAGTCACACTTCATTACCAATATGAAAGTAAAGAGGAAACAGCCCAAATAAAAAAACCAGAATCTAAGAACAGTTTGGACGTGTTTTGATTTGTTTGCGTTTGTCTAAGGAGGCCTGGGAGCTCTAGCAGGACCAGGACTCGCTAACCTGCTGGGCGGAGGAGGACCAGCTACAAGCAGCTCCTCGTCCAGGTGAGACTGAACATCAGAGATACATCAGAATCCGCTCACATACCTGAACTCTGCACAGAATTACCTGTGTTATAGCAGATGTAAGGAAATGTATTTCCCCCCCTATTTGTAGTTCTCGTAGCCAATCAGCGGCAGCCACTCCTTCATCAGGCGGAGCCCCCAGACTGAGCTCCTCCCAGGCCCCGACCACCCCCGTGACCCCTGCTGCCTCAGCTGTGTCACCTACTAGTGTTGCTCCCTCCACACCAGGTACACACACGTTTAATTTGACATTTCTGCTCAAAGAATTTCTTAGATGAATAATAATTATAAATGTGAGGATAAGAATCTAAAGATTTACAAACCTTTGCCCAGTACTCTGTTAATCTACATGTAACAAGTATTTTATCTTTAATAACCAGTTTTCGAACATCGTATATCTGAAAACCTCCTGACCTTGTTGTCTGCAGCCGCAGCTCAGACTCCTCTGGCCCCAGCCTCTGTTGGAAGCCCTGGTTCCCACCAGCCCATCCAGCTCAGTGACCTTCAGAGCATCCTTGCCACCATGAACGTCCCGGCGACGGCGGCTGCTCCGGGAGCAGCAGGTGAGGACGAGTCAGAGCAGGTTTACTGGAGGGGGATAAACCCAGTGATGCGTTTCAGACAAACAGAACCTCCTCTTTTCTTCTCTAGTGGATCTAGCCAGTGTTTGCACCCCCGAGATGATGGCTCCCATCCTAACCAATGCTGAGGTCCAGCAGAGGCTCCTGCCCTTCCTCCCCAGTGGTGAGAGTTTACCTCAGAGTGCTGAGGAGATCCAGAACACTCTCAACTCACCTCAGTTCCAGCAGGTAGGAAGTAAACATTGTTTATCACTATTATCTCATACATAACAGACGGGGTCTAATTATAATAATAATAATTCCTCTGGGCTGTGATTCCTCCTCCAGTCGATGAGCATGTTCAGCAGTGCCTTGGCCTCCGGGCAGCTCGGCCCCCTCATGAATCAGTTTGGTCTGCCGGCCGAAGCTGTGGACGCCGCCAACAGAGGAGGTGAAACACACAGACGCACTCTTCTCCCCTCCTTCTTTCTTTGAATATACTACACATACAAACATTCTGTGGTTTTCTCCTCGTCAGATGTGGAGGCGTTCGCCAGCGCCATGCAGGGCAGTAAAGGAGACGCGAAGGAAAAGAAGGACGATGAGGACATGAGTCTGGATTAGAGTTCGACCCTCTGAGCATCGTGAACTCCAGTGATTCCTTCTCTCTTTTATTTCATTATGTTTCTCTCCCTCTCTTCTAAGTTGACTTGTACTTTTCTAAACCAAAGGCAACACTCAGGATGAACAGAGCTGTAAAGAGATGAGTGAGGCCAGTTCTTCCTCTGACTCTGTCTGTTCAACTGGCCTGAGGTTAGAAGACGAAGCCTTAAGTTTGATGTTTCTTTCTGTTTTCCTGTTGTCACTTAAGACTCCAGGAGCCTGAGTTAATCCTGAATAAATCATATCAACAAAAAGAAGAAGAGAAGTTAAGAGTTTGTATGAAAAAACCCTTTATTTAGAAATGCATTGACAACACATGGGGGCTGGGTGTGAGGGGCGGGGACAGCTTATTCTTTCTGTGAGATGTTTTTAAAAGTGGTTATACAACTTACACACATTTGGTACATGTTAACATGAAGGACAGAAGAGACAAGGTGAAGAAGGACGCTGCCTCTGGCCTGGAGACGCCTGATGGAACAGTTGTGCCACTGGGACGTTGATTTAACTGGTAGTTACAAGAACCACCACAAGATTTAGAAAGCAAGAAAAAAAACTTAGAATACGTTTGATTTGTGAGAAGACTCAGAGATATTTACAGTCGTACACAGGGTTTCTGCAGAGGCTTGAAAAGCAAAGATATCTCCGTGATACAGACGCTGAAACCAACAAGGACTGAGCGTCTTCAAACACTCAGCTTGTCCGTGATACAGAAACTGTCTCTGCAGTCTGAGACGTGATGTTTCCAGGTTCTCTGCTGCTTCACCTTCAGTTACTAAGAAATGGAGGGACTCTGGTTTTCCTTCATATCTGTCTCAGCTGATGCATTTCTCTTAGATTCTTTATGGTCTTAAAAGTCTTAAATTCAACTCGGTGAAACGGCAGATTCTCTGATAATGGAGATAAAATACACCAGTGTGCTAAATGTTGTGTTCAGGTCAGTGTTCCAGGCAACAGTTCCCTTCATAGGTTCACAGTGTACAGACTCAGTAGGTTTTCTTTATATTCTCTGCTGGAGATGCACAACTCACACACGCTAACATCCTGGACTTCAATACCGTCCGTTACACTCAGGAAAACAGTTCGGAGCCGAAGAGGTTCAGAGCTAAAATGTATTTTTCACTGTTTGACGAGAGTTGATATTTGAAGTTGTGTCAGTGCATCTCTGCAACACAAACACAAACCAGTTCTGATGCGACGACAAATGGAATTATAAAATATATATTTTCTGACAATATACAATAAATATTAATATATATTTTAAATTAGCTACAGTAACATGACACCCACCACCATTACTCTGCAGTCGGGGAATGTGAAGATAAGACTTGGGTTTATACGTGTGGGCAGCCCTGTGTGCCCACGGCTCCGTGCACAGACAGCGGTTTGGACAACATGGCAGGTCTGTGGTTTACCATCGCTGAGCGGATGCAGCCGTGGAAGGACGGCAGGCCGGCGGGCAGGCCGGGAACAGTGACGCCTCCTGGTGGACAGAGAGAGGAACAAGGTGTCACAGAGAAGAGACAGGGACGTCAGAGCCGCCGCACGTCTCAACCAAACTTCTGCCTGAGCAACAATCAGCAGGTCATCACCAAGAGATGTTGTGGCCTCAAATCTGTTTCACTTACACATCTGAAAAGATTTAAAGAAATAAGAAACGGGACGAGCAGCTCACCTGGGGCCCCTCCGAGGTAAACGGTCTCCTTGGCCCCTGCAGAGCGGCTCTGTTTGGGGCCGACACTGTGCTCGCTGGCTGCGTCCACGTGGAGCTGCAGGACGTTGTTCTTCTTCACCACTGGAGGGCGACACAGAAAGTACAAGAGCGTTACAACAGGGAAACCACGGTAACACAACATACATGTTCGTCTACAGTCACGTCAGCTCACCTGTGATCGTGTGCCAGTGTCCGTTACATAGAGGCTCTTCAGGAGTGAAGGAGGCGGAGAATTCACCTTTACCACTGTTTACTGAGACGGTCACCTGCTCACACACACACACGCGCACGCACACACACACGCACAGATAGATAGACACACACACCAGGTGTAAATGATTGTGTGAGTCATCGTCCTGTTGCATGTATTTTGTAACATGAGGTCACGGTGACCTTCGACCTTCGACCCTTCAAATCTCATCAGTTAATCCGTCCCATTGAACCTTTGGACCAAACCTGAAATATCGTGTTCACGAGAACCTTCAGGAGTGTGACCTCACCTCTCCCTGACTGAGGACCAGACTCAGGTGTTGATCAGGTGACGTCCCAGCATGCAACAGCAGCCCAGAGTCCGAGACGGGTCGAACTTCTAACTGGATCTCAAGATCCCGACCAAGAACCAAGGACTCATCTGCGGGGGAGGAGTCAGTCAGAACACGTCGCTCCAGAGAATGAGTGTGAACTTTGAACCCGCTCAGAATGAGGATAATCACCTATAGCGACGTGTCCTCCCTCTCCGGAGAAATACGCTCCGGGCTGCAGAGGGTTTTGGAAGCAGGGCACCGCCCCCTGACTGAAAGTGGGGTTTCCCGCAGGGGCCTCGTTCAGCGTCAGGTCCTTGACACAACCGATGAAACCTCCAGAGCCTGGAGCCTAAAGTCCACAACAACACGGTTCATGTGACAAGAGTAACGGGCTGAGGATGAGGATGAGGTTGAGGATGAGGATGAGGTTGAGGTTGTGTTGGTGATGGATGTTTTACCGTCAGTGAGGGCGGAGCTCCTCCCACATACAGCGGCCCAGTGAGACGGGTTCTGTCTCCTCCAGGAATTCTCTTGGACTGAGCGCTGATCCCGTCCACGATCAGACTGATCTTCTCTCCCTCGCGCTTCACGAACACCTGCAGTGACATCAACACAGCGGCGTGTTAGACGCTGACGCAGACACACAGGGGTCATGTGACCTGAGCTGCTGAGCCGTCTCACCGTGTGCCACCGGTCGTCGTCGTACTTCTTGCGGCTGCGCAGGCTGACCTTCCTCTTCCCTCCGTCCAGCAGCAGCAGCAGGTGTCCGCCTGACACGCTGAGGGACATGCCGGCGCCGCCGCGCTGCCCGCCAGCGGCGTGAAGCACCAAACCATCGGAGGAGTTGATCCTCAGAGACATGGAGATGTGAGGCCTGCACACAGACGGTGGGGGGGGGGTGAATCAGCAGTTTTTTTTCTGCTGACTCAGAAACAAACTGTGATGAAATCCTCACGTCACACAAATAAAAAGGCGTCACTCACGTGGAGCTGAGCGACCTGGGCAGAGCGTCATATCTCTGGTGGGTGTGGGTGGAGCCGCTGAAGTGCGTGGCTCCGCTCTCTTGGTCCGACGGCGCCCCCTGGCACGACTCCCTGATGTTACGGCTGCGAGACCCCGTCGGCTTCTTGTGCTTCCCCTGGAATGAAAGAGAGAGTGTCATTAGAGTTAGAGGTGAAGATGTGATGTCAGAGGTCCGTGTGTGTGTGTGTGTGTGTGTGTGTGTGTGTGTGTGTGTGTGTACCTTGGGTTTGTTGTGCTTCGGCTGCGCAGCGACGATCTGCTGAGGTTTGGCGGCAGCGGGACAACTCAGAGGGACGTTGACGTTCTCTTTCACCTTCAGCAGGTTCTGAACGGCCTGAGGACTCGTTTCCCTGACGACGAGAAGCGCGCACACATTTTAGAGCTCAAGCGACAAACTCATCAGCAGTCGACAATAAATCATCTCTGCCCTCAGATCCAGACTCTTTGAGTTCATAACGAGTTCACTGAGTTTATATGTTATTTGTTTCATTCCACGACGACACCATCGACAAACATCTATGTTTGAAACGGACGCTGAGTTTTAACTCTGCAATTAAAAATCGTCTCCTGTTCAGAATGTAACGATGACATCACAGTAGATTCTCTGTTTGAAGACGATGACATCACAGTAGATTCTCTGTTTGAAGACGATGACATCACAGTAGATTCTCTGTTTGAAGACATTAAGTTAAAGTGTCCGTCCTCTCGCTCTCGTCTCACCTCTTGATGAAAACGTTGCTGATACACCCGGTGAGGTTGCTGTGGGTATGGTCGGGCATTCCTCCCAGGAAGGTGCTGCCCTCTGATGTCGGCGCTGTACGCCCCCTGGTGTCTATACGGATTCCCTCCTTGGCTTTCTCCAGCATGTCGTCCATGTACAGACGCATCCTGGAGGCGTGATGGGTCGGACAGTTAGAATCAGTCTGAACGTGCCATGTTTGGGTTCATGTTTTACACAACAGTCGTCCTACCCGTTGATGTTGTTGTAGATAGCGACGTAGTGGCTGTTGGCGTCATTGTACGTCTTCTGTGTCCTAATCTCACTGTTGCCAGCTCTCACCACCACTTGTCCCTCGTTCAGAAACACTTGACACACGCCGTCCTGTACAGATTCAACAGGCTCACGTTAGCAGTGTGTTGAACAGGGAGAGACGTATGAAGGCAACACAACGTGATGGAAGCTTTATGAACCTTATCTTGGTGGTAGAACATGAGTCCTTCCTTCTTGTCGGTTCTGAAGCTGAAGCTGGCGTAGAAGTTGTCCCTGAGGCTCGGGACGTTGGTCAGAGACAAATCCAAGTAGCTCTGACCAGAGAAATGAGCTTCACGAGCCACCTGAATAAATGACAGGGACAGAAACAGGTCAAGACTCACTTATATATAGAAATAAACTCTTTATAAATATAACTTCACCTTCTGGGACATTTCATGGTTCTTACTCTCTGAAAGAGGCAGATATGTAATAATATAATTATCTAATTATCTATCAGGAGAGAATCAGTGAGAAGCAGCTGCTTCACAAACTGGTGAGAAATCTGTGGTTTAAAACTTTTCTTTATTTATCTACTGACACAGCAGCTGCTCCGAGGACGAGACGCTGCTGAAGGTGAAACATGAGGCGGCTCAGATCAGAGAAGGTGTCACCTCTCTGGTGTGAGACCGTGTTCAACAGAGATGAACACTGCACTGATTTCTAAACTCACAATCCTCATTTCACCAGAACTACCTCAGAGGATTCTGTGACTTTCTCCAGAATCGGTCCCGTTCAGTACAAAAGAGGGAACATCTGTTCAAAAACACTGGGTGGGATTAGACTAAAAAACGTTGGGATGATAAATGAACTTCCTGTTCTCATGTTGAAATCCTTTAAAAAACTCTTCTCCTTCATCAACTTGAGATTATTTTAAAAAACAAACTGATGAACCAGGTTTTCTCACCAGCAGATCACTGTCACATCCGAAACTGACTCCGGAGCTCTTCATCCTCTTCAGGTCGACGTGAGAGTTCTGGGCCTTTACGTTCCTGAAGCAGCCCTTCAGAGATCCCTGCTTAGGAAACCACGTCTTCAGCCTGAAAACACAGAGACGCAGTGAAACGAGCCGCCAGAGAAACGAGCCGCCAGAGAAACGAGCCGTCAGAGAAACGAGCCGCCAGAGAAACGAGCCGCCAGAGAAACGAGCCGTCAGAGAAACGAGCCGCCAGAGAAACGAGCCGCCAGAGAAACGAGCTGCCAGAGAAACGAGCCGCCAGAGATCTGTTGGTTAATGTTTTATAGATTGTTTCTTTGGCCACTTTATTATGATTCTTACTGTTTCAGCTAAAACATTATTAACTGTTTCCTGCTTTAGTAGTTAAAGAACAATTATCACTCGATGTAGAAGTTCAATATTCTGTTCTGTACACAAACAATAAAATAAGAGAAGAAGAAGAGAAACTCATTAATCTGCAGATTTGGTAAAAACTGTCGTTTCATCGCTGTGAATATTGTTGATGCAGAAATATTGATTGAAAGTTACAGAACATTAATAAAACAGATATGAGACTAATTTAAGTTCGTCTTACTTGTCGGGGATCTTGTCGTGTGGAACTCCTCCCAGGTAATAGCTGCCGCTGAAGGGAGGGATGCTCTCGGTGAACTGGTGGGTGTAGAGGCTGATGCGGTTGTTCCTCACCACGATGCGGTTCGTGGTCGCTCGCATGATGATAATCTCCAGCTTCACATTTAAAAACAAATCAGATCAAAATGTTTTTCCGAATCAAAGGAACAGGCGGGATGTGGAGGAGACGATCAAAGATCGAAGAGTGACGATGACGATGACGATGATGATGAAATGAGTTCAGACAGAGAGACGACTTACCACATTGGGTTTGGCGTTGCTGACCATCAGGGAATCTGATTCCGGCTCTTTAGGCTCAAGTTCCACCAGTTTATCGCTGAAGTCGTAGAAAACCTTCAGTTGTCCGTTCAGCACGGCCAGACACAGGTACTGATTCTGAGGGACGACAGAGACGCAGCGACAAGACCGATGAGTGGATGAACGACCACATGTGAGACATCAATGATCCGAACACAAACTGTCCAATGATGAACGGATGAATGAATGAACGGGTTATTTCTTTGCCTTGTTCTGCAGCAGCAGCAGGATCCCTCGCTGTGAGAGCAGTTTCACTTCCTGTTCGAAGCGCTGCATGCGAGTGGTTTCGTCAGTGAAGGTGATCTCAGAGAAGCCGGTACCGTCGAAGAACGCCGCGTCATTCACCCACGCCTGAGTCAGCACCGGCTTCGGCCTGCGGGAGGAAGGGGGTGGGGGGGGGGGGCATTTATATTCCATCATGAGTCAAACGAGAGAAAAGAGACGGGGGAATATTGGAGGTTTGGTTCAGGACGCTGGACGTGACACCGACCTGCCACACGGCTTCTCCTCGGTGGTGTTGAGGTTGAAGATGTTTTCGAAGTTGTACAGACTGAGCACCTCCTCGTTCAGCGTGTCCAGCTCGATGCAGCCCTTAAAGCTGGGCAGAGCGAGCTGGGGCGGGGGCTGCACACAGACGACAAAGAGAAACAACTCTCAGCTGCGTTGAGGGAAATATTCACTCACATTTCAAAATCCACGTGGTGATCCCTGAAACACAGACATTAACAATGCTGAACGCTCCTGCACGCTCTTACTTTGAAAGTGCTGGGGAATCCTCCCACGTAGAAGACGGTGTCGTCGGTCAGGAGGTTGAGGAGCCCGTGGTCTCCTCCTGCCTCCACGTGAGCTTTAGTGACTCTCTGGTCTCCCTCCGTGGCTTCAGAAGACATGGACATCTGCCCGTACTGCAGGATCCTGAGCCCCCCCACACACAAGAACATTCAGAACACAGTGTGTGTGTGTGTGTGTGTGTGTGTGTGTGT